ATCACGTGATCAAAGATTTACTACTTACTACATCTCAGATGCATCCGATGTGGATTCTCAAACGCGGCATAAACAATAAACTACAAACGGTCCTGTAAGGGCAGCGTCATATAGCCTTGAAACCCTTGAAACACCGGATTTTAGTGCTATTGCCAGGTCAATATTGAATTTGTAGGTGAATCGCTTATTGAACATTAAAAATACGGTATTAATGACATTAATACGGTATTTGTATATATTTTTGGGAATGTAATTACACATAAATATTATTAGTTGATTATTTAAATGTGTATAAGTTATTTTGTGGCGATATTTCGTAGATATAAACTGTTTAAATCATATAATTTAAAAATTAATTAATTTAAAATTCTTTTCTGTTGGGTATGTTTAATATATTTGGCAACACTACAGGGACAAGTCATGCATATTGCGCAAGCTTCTAGACACACTATTTTGCGATGTCAGGCGCAGAGACGCGTTTTTATGCACAGTAGGTTTCAATTTCTGCTTAAATGTTATGTTTATATTGGTCTTCTATATTATTTCTATGCATAAATTACAGAAGACTCCTATCATGATCATCAAATAGATATGAATAATAATGTGAAAATGGTCAAAGCTTCAATATCCAACGATTCTATTCATCTAGATAATTTTGCCACCTACAGATCTCAAGCCTTAGACAAGGATGATTTCATTGATAACGTTAACCTAATCTTGCAGGAATCATTAGTGGACCAAAATCGTATGCAAATAATCGTGGAAGATATTAATATCGACACAATGAAAAGTGAAAACGAAATTAAAAGCATCATGAAATTTTTTACAAGAAACATATAGCCAATGAATTCAACATTTATTTTAATAAAATTGGTAAATCATTAGCCAAAAAAAATAGTACATTGCGATATTGAGAACAAGGTTAAATCATCTCGGAACTCTTTCTATTTCACTACAATATCTGACAATGAACTCATATTACAAATAAATAGCCTAAAAAATAATTTCAAAGGTGGTCAGGATAATATTAGTGCTAATATAATTAAAAATGCACATGCTCATTTGTTGAGTCCATTAAAACATATTATAAATAACATCTTTAGCTAAGGAATCTTCCCTGATAGACTTAAAAGCGCCATAATTGTTCCATTACACAAACAAGGTGATAAAAAAATCACAAATCATTATAGACCTATGGCTTTTACAAGCACCATTAGTAAAATTATAGAAAAATGTATTAGGCTTAAGTTGTTGCCATTTATAAACAAGTATAATTTAATCAATGAAAATCAATATGGCTTTAGGGATGGTTCCTGTACTGAAGATGCATTGTGCAAGGTATCTAGTGAAATTTTTCAAAGATTGGATCAGGAGAATAAGATGAATAGTATATATCTAGACTTGGCCAAAGCCTTCATGACACTGTGACACTCCAAATGCTACTAGATAGGTCACATCACATTGGTATAAGGGGTATAGCTAACAATTTAATTAAATCATACTTAAGTGGTAGATTCCAACGTGTTAGATTTCAAAAGGAGTTGAGCGAGGAACTTATAGTGGAGTTTGGTGTGCCACAGGGCACAGTACTGGTACTATTGCTATTTAATATATATGTAGATGGTATCTTGTCCACTATCAATGAGGGGAATGTCTACTGTTTTGCAGATGACACAGCTGGTCATAATAAGTGGGCAGAATTGGCCGATAACGTTAAAAAAAGCAGAGTTTGCTATGTTTAAACTAAAAAAATGGTTAGATAGTAGTCCCTAAATATTGATAAAACAAAATTTTTGGCTTTCTCTCTTTCGGCTAGAACATCTTCAAATTTCACAAAATCGTCTTTCATGACCAAACATGTCAATTAAATAATAATTGTCAGTGTAAAAATACTATAAAAATATCAAATAACATTAAATACTTGAGAGTACTCATTGACGAAAATCTCACATGGAAAGATCATATACAATGTCACCGGAAAGATTAGAAAATTAATTTTTAAATTCTATGAATTACGTAACATTCTTTCTCCAAAAATTTTAAAAGCTATCTCTGTCTTGTAAAATCAATCATAAACTATGGGTTAGTTGTTTGGGGTAATGCTGGTAGTCCACTTGTCTTTAAGTTACAAATTGCACAGAAATATATAATTAAAATTATGCTTTTTAAAAACAGAAGATATTCAACCGAACTGGTTTATAAAGATAGTAATTTACTAACTCCTTGTCAACTTTATTTGAAATCGATAATCAGATTTATGTTAAAAACAAACCATTTTAAACAAGGATTGTCTAATAGCATTAATACTAGACTGGCTGCTAAAAAAGACTAATGGCTTTAAAATCCTAAACATACTGCATGTCAAAACCATATCTATTGTGTAGGTCCTAAGGTATATAATTGTTTACCACAGGAATTTAAAAATAAATCATATCATAAAATCAAAAATAGGATAAACCAATGGATAGTTACAACAAATTTTTTTGATTACTTATCTTTTATAAATATAACGTCCTCTAATCCTAAAATTTATTCATACAGTATTTGCTTCTCTAACTATTAATATTAGATCATTAGCGGGTAATTTTAAGTTAATGAGATTTATATATATTTAATTAACCTCTTCCCAAGAATGTATGTAAGAGTTACATTAATTGCACACATAGCATATTAACTTGCCATTGTGCGCTGAATAGCTATTTATTTTCCTCTCCCTTCAATAATGCAATCAGGAGACAAGGTTTAATTAATTCCTAACAATGAGAAAAAATGAATATTCAAAATTAGACCATTAAAAGTTTTGTCTTCTAATTGATAAGTTCTTGATTACTTTGAATGTTAGGCTACTAGTGAACTTAAGTCGCACTGTTAAAAATTAAGATACCTTGTTTATATTTAAGTTATTGTGTATATTTATATAATAATTTGTAATTTAAATTAATGCACACTGAATGGCTAATAAATAACAAATAAATATTTCAAAGACGCGATAATTCAGTTGAATATAATAAATGAAAGAAAGTGAAGTGAGAAAATCGGTTTAGATCCGAAAAACTAAATGCAGATTTGAAAATTCTGAAAATGAAAAATCCCTAATCCACCTACGAAATTATAAAAATTTCACCCTCAGATCCCCAAAGTGAAAACAAACCAAAGAAAAATTGAAAAAGCTGAGATTTAAAGAAAGAAAAATGCGTGCGAGACCTGGGTCGAACCTGGAACCTCGGACTTCTTAAAGCCACCCTTTGACATCTTGTAGAAAGACAGTAATTTATAATTAGAACTTAATATCTAAGATCCTTCATTCGTTCAACAGTGTTAAATTTTCGAGTACGGTACGCCGTAAACGTAAAATGAAACTTTCAAATTACTGTCTTTCTACACGATGTCAAAGGGTGCCTTGAAGAAGAATTTAGAGAGCTGAGATGAGAATTTGTGTGTAACGATGGGAGTCTGAATCTGATTTACTTCAAGTTTACAAATTCGGACATTAAAACGTATGTGCTGAGGTGGCCTAATTGGTTAGCGCGCGGACGGCACAAGTCCGAAGTTCCAGGTTAGACTCCCGCTCTCGCACGTATTTTTTCTTTCTTTAATTCTCAGCTTTTCAATTTTCCTTTCGTCTGTTTTCACTTTGGGGATATGAGGGTGCAATTTTCATAATTTCGTAGGGGACTAGGGATTTTTCATTTTCATTATTTCCAAAATTTGTATACAAAAATGTTTCGAGTAAGATGTGTGGAAAATCTGAATATAATAAAGGTGGGCATGAAAACAATTAAAATTTTCCTAAACCCTAATTAAATCTATCCAATACCTACCTACTAAATAATTATTTGGTTTAGCCGCGTTTGACTAAAATTTTTGTTCTATGTCAACATTTTTGGTTCGATAAATATTAACCAATTAGCTCAAGTGACAAATACCATATTTTCCTCACCTCTAGTAAGTAGATGCCTGAAACTGGTTAGTGAACACAACCCAAATTGGACTTGATTTCAACAGGATGGTGCCGCGGCACACACAGCAGGATAATCAATGACCAACTCCATGTGAATTCTCTCCAGGCATATTCATTTTCAAATTTGGAGACATCCCATCTCCAGATTTTTTGTGGGGATCCTTAAAGAGTATTGTTTATATGTCTAAATTTATTTTTAGCTTTAAGTATAAATTAATTATTTGGAGTGAGGGTAGCCATATGTGAGTAGTAGGGATTAAGTGTAAGGGGTTACACCCTTACACTTAATAAATTAATTAATCTGCCGGCCCTTATGAAACAGTTAAAGAATAATATTCGGAAGACCGTTGCCATTTAGATAACGTAGTATTTAAAAAAATAAAATCCGCATGTGAGTGTAACCAACCAAATGCACTATGCAACTTCCAGTGAGGGAAACTGCCTAAAACTAAACATTAAATAAAAAAGAATTACCAATAACATATTGTTTCATCATTTACCAATATTTCTTAGGGACCAATTACGAGACCTAACCTAACAGAATAACATGAAATTGACAAATATATTTATGTACAAAAAACAATGCTGAGAATTGATCTCCAGAAAAAAAATCGATATAAAAACTGAACGAAAATATCTCTACAAACACCAACCACATGGAAAACCAGAAAATTACAATTAATAACGAACGCACCACTTGTGAAGATTCTGACATTCAGAATAGGACTTGAATGGCAAACGTTCCTTCAAGGTCTTTGACAGTAGTAATTGTTTTACTGGCTTTTTAAATAAGTTTCCGTCATGGTTTTATATTTGATTCAATACACATTTTCAAAATTCAATTACTCTTTCAATTATTAGCATTTTTGCACATTCTAGGAGAGCCTAAACATTAATCCAGTTTAATATCTACATGTATATCAATAACTCCCTGTATTTAGAAATGACTAGGCATCTGCAATTATTATTTGATTCCACCTCGTTTTTAACTCGGAGTCAAAGACAAAAGTGAAGCCCTAAAACTCTGATCGGTACTAACCTCGAAATTTTTCTGCCACTCCTTCTGCGCTTTGGCCTTCTCCTCCTCTTCGATTTCCGTTTCGCGTTTCCTCTTCCTCTCCTCTTGGTCCCTTTCGGTTAGGTCACGCCTCTTTCGCTCCATATCTGCAAACAGTTTCATTGTCAAGACATAAACAGCATGTTTATATTGACCGGGGTCATCTTCAGGGATGGAGTCTTTCCCCTCTTTTTTGGCCTTTTTTCTCTTCTCCGTCAGCTAGAAAGTCTCATGAGGTTAAGTATTCAAACACTCAAGATATAGAATATTTCATAGAAATAAGGTATAACAGATAACAGACAATTATTATAAACAGAGTGTGGGATCACATCAGACACATTTTGAAATTACCTGAATTTACAGGTTTCTTCTGACCTTTAGTTACTAGCAGAGCTGGAATGGATGCAGGCAAAATGAGTTACACCTCTACTGAATGCTAAAAAATATACTGAGCATTTAAAAAAAATGCCACCTAGTGTTTATAGGCAAGAAACAGAAAAATTGCTTACAGTATACTTAATGTTAAGACATTTTACCATAGAAATCCAATATAAATTTAATAATCTCTTATTGTGAAGCAATAGATATCTTAATTTACCTAGCTGGGTCAACTAGGTCTGATATTTGCTATGTAGCGAGCAAAGTAAGTAAATTTCTGGAGAATAGTTTACAAATTTACTGAAACTAAACTCGGTAGATTATCTTGTGTTTACCATGTTTTTATTGTTTATTGTAATGAAAACAAAAAAAACTCCAGTAAATAGTCTTTTGGCAACAACCGATAAACATTATAAATATCCTTAATTTTTTTTTTTATAAATATGACACTTTTAACAACTGTTAATGATTTGGACAAAGGACACAGTACTTCTAAAAGCATTTGAATAATGAAATACCTATTTCTACAGCCCATATAGTCCAGCTCTACCATTTAGTGACCACTCTGTGAATGGTAAAGTTTATTTAGATAGGTACATACCATTAAATCTGTTCTTCCTACAGCTTCTTCAATAATATCCATACATTTCTTCCTCGTTTCTTCATTTTCCAGCGTCTTCCACGCTTTATTGACTGCCTCAAAGGCCTGTTGAGCTCTGTCTGGATCATCTTGGTTCTTATCTGGATGGACTAAAATGGACAACCTTCTGTATTTCCTCTTTATCTCTTCAAGGGTAGTTTCTGGTTCAACTTGTAACACATCGAATGGGTTGAGATTTCTGTATGTTGATCCTGGCCTAAGTAATCTTTCAATTTGTTGTTTCGATGTTAGGACTGAGTCTCTTTTTTCTATTTCTTTTACCTAAAAAAAATTATGGTGCATTTCAAAATAATATTAAACTAGGTAAGTACTTGAATCGTTTAGTTTTTGAAGCTATGTAATACATAAATATTTTAATAAATTTGACAATTAATTTTCAATAACTATATCTTAATAAAGTAACTATGTTAATAATAACAAACAGATAAAAATAAAAGTGAAACTTTGTCCTTTGAGTAAACACTCAAAACATAATAAAGCACTTACCTCTGTATAAAATACGTTGAATTTTGTGTCTTTTTCATTATCCTTACTAGTGGACATTTTGTCCGCTCCTTATCAATAATGAATTAAATTAATTTCAATCATTTATAGGAATAGATATTTTAAATTAATACATTTTTTATATAATGAAAGTGACTACTGACAGATGAAAATAAAAGTGACACTAGACAGTGACAGATTAATGATGCATTTTTTCACAAAGACCTTCTATAACTAGACAAAGCAACAAGTAAGGGAACAATATCACTTTCTAAAATGGTAATATGTTCAAATTTAACGGGCGTTAAAAATATAACGTATGTTAAATATGAAAAGCATTTCTGTAAATCCAAAAAAAAATTAACTTGTCATAATTAACATAATAGTTCATTTTTGCCGCAAAAATCGTCTATAAGCCGAAATATTTTAAAAATTTAACATAAAAAATGTATTAATTTTATGCGTTTAAGGACTGATTCCACCATTGTGTTAAACGAAGTTTAAAATGACATTTTTACATTAACAATGTCATTTTAATCTCCGTTTAACACAACGGTGGAATCGGCCCTAAGCGAGGATATTAACAGGACTTTTGAACGTTTAATTCAACTTATAAAGCAAGAAAATCATGAAAATGGACATTTTGAAAGTACTCAAGTAATTTTAACAGTTGAAATTACACAAATTCTATTTAAAAATTATATTTTATTTATAGTGTATATAAACTTTTTGTAGTTAGTAATTGATTTGCGGTAGAAGGGCACTATTATAAGGTTACTGGGGTTAGTTTTGTTTCTATTGAAAATTGATGACCTACCAAATAGTTTATAAAGTACATTCTGCGCTTATTTTTCAATATTCTTATGCAAAAACAGACAGATACAATAAATATGACAAAAGGAATGACATTTATTGGACAGACCTTAAAACTTAACCATACTTTTATAGTAAATTTGAACTATTTTTAACGTATGTTAATTTGTTTTAAAATTTAACGTATGCGTTAATTTTATTTTTACAGAATTACAATTTATGTTAAAATCGTAAAATTTAACACCCGTTAAAAACAAATGTATTGAATTACAGAATTAGAATACCATTTAATGTTTCTAGTTTTGGTTATCTCATTAATCCGGGGATTTTCGTATTGATGATTAATTAGAAATTAACTCTAATACCTAGAGAGGATTCCCTGCTACTACTATTACCCTTATTCTCTGTTGTGTTTTAATTAACATTGTTGTTCCTAAAACGGCGTTGGTAAATAGAATTGTCAAAAAAACTAATACAATAGTTTTTGTCTATCACGTTTGTTTGTGTTTCAGTCCATTACAAAAGATTGTTTATTGTAAACTAGCAGAATACATTGCAGAACTAAATCATAATTGATTTAATTGTATAATGTCTCATGTTTTCCAGTAGTTGGAATTCAAGCAGTTCAAAAATGATTGTAAAATAAATTAAATAAATGCACAACTAAAAAGGTGGCACCATAAAAATGTATCTAACTTTGTTCCATTACAGTCCTTCTCATTGTGATACATAATATTATTATGTAATGACATTTTTACATTAACAATGCCATTTTAATCTTCGCTTTGTAATTTAAACTTCGTTTAACACAACGGTGGAATCAGTGAAGTATGTGCAAATATTAAACTAGAAGGTATGTATAATATCCAAAAATAATATAATAGACATTTTTTTGTTAAATTTTGCAATTAAAAACGCGGGGCAATTGTCTTATTTTCCAAAAAACATATTTGAGCATGTAATCATGGCCAAACATTATAGATGTCGAAAATTACGATATAATTGATCCAAACTCTTTTTAACCCAATACAGTGACGTAGGTACGTCATTCTAAAACCAATTATTCAAAAATGAATATAAATATAAATTACAATTTTCTTAATTTCTTTAATTCAGTTTTAATAATCGCACATATTTCAATTAGTCATTGTATATTATATATTACACAGAAAGGAAATATCACATTTTTAAATTTATCATCAATGTTGGCATTACATAACGATGTAGTACATAGTTGCGAGTTTGCCATCTAGTTATCAAAAGTCTACAATTTTAAATTTCGGTGCCATCTATTGGTGAAATGATATACTTGAACATGTAAATTTATCAACAAAAAGAAATCTTTTATAATTTTATAATTGTAAATTTATTTTAAGTTATATTTAAGAGATGGTGATAGAAGGTTCATTACAATGTTAATATCTAAAGTACGTTTTTTAGAGACGATAATACAGTGTGTTGCAAAAAGTCCACACCATAAGGAAAACTTTTTTAACGTCGATTTCTTAGAGAATGCAATTTTTTATAAAAATTGGCCCGTGTACATGGAGCTACCACAAATTTTTGGGCTCAAAATAAATTGGCACTTGCTTCGTTTGTCCGCTAGAGTTTCAACAAAGTTAAATAAAAATATCTGCTTTTTCTTTAATCTCCAGAATTCAGCCATTTTAAAAGATCAAGGTTGTTACGAATACTAATTCTTTTATGACCAATTAAAAGCAACAGGAACATTAATTTTTCTATTGCGATCATAAGCGCCTCATTAGGGGGAGTGTAACGGACATTTTCGCTATTTTTTTATCGGACTCTCTTTGACATTTCTTGATTAAAAAAGGAAACTATGGAGTTTTTGATCAAAAAAGTTAGTCTTGCTCGATGTTGCTATGATGTACCCCTTTCAAAAATACCACGTGTTATCATATACCCAGACAACACACCAAATCCCAGAGATATCCACAGAATATCTTTTGTGGATATCCAATATATCCACAGGATATCAGAAATATTCCGTGGATCTAATATGGATATCCAAATGTCCGTCTATATCCAGAATATAGAAGATATCCTATGGATATTCAGCAAAATAGCTAATGAGTATCTTCCAGACAATACAAGAAATCCCAGAGATATCCACAGAATATATTTTGTGGATATCCAATATGGATATAGAATTCAGATATTCAGCAAAATATTTTATAGGTATCTTTAGTAGAGGTTCATAAGTAACCAATGATTATTGAATAACCTCGAAAGAAAATAGATATAAAAATTTTTTTGTAAAGACGGACCTGTATTTCGTTTCTTGTTTATACCTTTTTAGATTTGGTAAGTTACGGTGAATAAGTACGCCAAATGTCAGAAACATATACAGGGTGGTTAATAAGTTATGAGTCTGGAAAGAAATAGGCCAAATTGATAAAACAGCCTGTATCTCGGCTATAAAGGTCAAAAGACCCATTAAGTATGGGTTATTTGGAAGCACCTCGGTGGTCTCCATGCATGGTTAAAGGGAGTCGCTTTACCAATGAAACACCCTGTATACTGCGAATTTAAGTAGTAAACACTAAGCATTTTTGTATTTCATAGGTTGCATTTCAAATATATTGTATGGGGTAAGCAAAATTAAAATTTATTGAGTTAATATTGGAATTCATTTATAGGTCAAAGTTTTATCAAGAATAACTTTTTATGAAAAATCCAAAATAAAAAAGTTTGTCGTATGCCGCAAGGTTTCTGAGCCGTACTATGTGATAACACCTGGTGTTATGAGCTGGATATAACTATTAGGTAGGTATTTTATTAAAGAACTTAAAAATTAAAAATAGATGTAAGACAATCGGTATAATAATACATGTAGGTACAGGGTAGGTGGTCGGTGGTCTCCATGCATGGTTAAAGGGAGTCCCTTTACCAATGAAACACCATGTATAAAAAACGTTTTTATTGTAAATTTTCCGGAAAAAAGTTATTTTTCATAAACAGTTTTACATTGTCTAAAATCTAAGATACAACCATCCAACATCAGACATCAAATTGTTTCAATCGTATACCAGGCGTGTCAAAAAATATGAATTTTGTGCAAGAAACGTAGGTACCTTTTTTGACAATATTGAAGACTATTATACAGAAAAGTTGAATTTAAATTAAAACTATGATTTATTCAATTACATCCATATACCCTGGAAAAAAATAGATGTTCCGAAAATACCCAAAATCTAATCAGCTTACCGCAGATGGACTAAAGCTTAACTTTAAAATTTGGTTTTGTTCCTTGCAAAAGTAATAATCAAAAATCAGTAATTATTCGCAAGCAAAAACATTTAGAATAACAATTTAAATGTATTTACTGGTAGAGTAAAATATCAAGGAGTTTTCTACAATTATTAATGCTTTTTCGAATTCAGTATCTTAATTTATACGGAACAGATTACATAAAAGCGAACAATAATTCATTTTTTTAAGTAGCGATACCTTAGTAAATTTTCCATTAATTTTTATTAATATGGAGTATACCTATCGTAAGTAAATTTTATAGTAGTTTCGTTTTAGAATATAAATCACAATTTCTACAGTCACATAACGTCGAGATGCTTCTTTATAAAAGCTTCATTAAGTCAACCATAAGAAAGAGAGAGAGGACGCGAATTTGAGGAAGTTGTTCGAGCTGAAGATAATCAATGGCATCATCATTTGTCATATGTCTTAAATTGATGGAGACTAAAGGAAGTATCCTTTGGATATACCTATTCCTATTGCATATGTGGTATGTTATGTTATGTTATGTTGAAAATGGGGTGTTAATACACTGCGACCTAAAAGATCTATTGTGACCTCTTCTATCGCCAATGCACTAAGGAAATGTCTCAATGCCTATAACGACCCTTCCAATCGTATTTTCTCAAGGAAGGAAGTGTATTTGATATCCTCCTAGATATAGTGCCCTTGGATTCTGGAGTGCTACACATTCAGTTAGGATGTGAATGGAGGTTTCGTCCTCCTCCTCACAGAATCTGCACTCACTATCCTCTACTACTCTCAGTTTACTTAGCTGTCCTTTTAGTCGGCAATGCCCGGTAAGGATCCCTGTTACAATACGTAGCCTGTTCTTGCTCCGGCAGATGCAGGCTTCCGATCTTTTCTGATTATATTCACCCAGAAATATCTTGGCCTGTCTCAGTCCCAAGAGATTGTTTCAATTATCGGTTCTTCTACTGCCCAATTCTTTTTTAATCTCTCCTAATATTATGTTACTGCGGATACCGCAGAACGGCTCAGGTCCTACAAAAGGTGTTCGAGCCACTTTCCTTGCAAGACTATCTGCAATCTCGTTACCCTGTACCCCGTTATGTCCCGGGACCCAAGTGAGAGTAACTCTAT